GGCTCGCCCGCGCCGAGGCTCCGCCCCGCTGCGGACCGCGGCCCTGCGGCTTTCTTTGCACACCCGTGCGGTTGCGCGGCCGTGGGCCCCGGGACTGCAGTGCGCAGCGGCACCGGTGGCGGCCGCGGGCCGGAGACCGAGGAAGTGGAGGAAGAGGCAGGCGGCCGGCCGGCCCAGAGAGGACTCAGGCCCGGAACGGCTCGGGCCCGGAGACCAGCCAGAGGGAGACGCCCCGCGCGCCCTGGAGATGCACTGGGTGCCGCGAGGCTTCCGGAGCCTGGGCCGGAGCTCCCAGGCGGCCGCCCACGGCTGAGCCTCCGCTTCCCCGGCGTGGGTGCGATGCCACCGCGATGGGGACGGAGGGCCCAGCGCCCGGCGGGAGAGCAGCTCTGCGGGACCCCAAGCCTCGGTTGGCAGCGGAGTGGCGCTGATTCATTTAATGAGGCCAGACGGTTCTCGGTCTCCACAACATAGTTTTTGTGTTTTTAGTTTTCTCTCTTGGCTTGTTTTCTTTAATTGGTGTTATTCGCCGTGTCTGGGCTGCGCCTTAATTACGCAGCGCGCCTCGCTCCGGCCGAGCGTGCTTAGCGGCCAGCCAAGGGGGTTCTAAGTCACGAGACCCCCAGAGAACGTGCGACTAAAGTGGAAAGCATCCGCTGGGCTCACTCCCTGTCCTCGCAGCAGCGGCTCCCCCGCCGGCGGGTCGCTCGAGCCCCACACCCACCTCCAGCTCCCCGGAAACGGCCCTGACTTCTCTCCCCGCCCCTGCGCGCGCGAGAGGCCACCGGCGCCGAACCAGCCCGGCTTCGCGCACGGGCGGGAACTTCCCTGGGCTGCCATCCCCGCGGCGTAGCGGGCTTTTGCGCGGGGCTTACAGGAGCCCCGCCCTGGCGCATTGTCCCCGCGCCGGGAGTTCCCTCCTCCGTCGCGGGGTCCCTCATCCTCCCGGGAGGGCGCTCACCCACTGTCTCCTCACATGGAGCACCCAACTTAAACTCAACTTCTGCTCCCTCGAGCCCTCACGCGCCCCCCGCTGGGCCCCTCCCGCCCGCCGCCTCCTTCCTCCGCGGCCGACGCGCGGCTGGGGTCCTAGGTGGCCGCTGCCGTGCCGGACTCTCTTCGAGCCCGGCTGCTGCGGCCTAACGGAGGCAGGGGCGTGGCGGGCGCCCCGGCTGCTTCCCTTGCCCCAGGACCTGCGAGGCCAGGCGGACTGCACCGCTCGGCCGGAGCTGGACGCGGACTGAGGCCGGACGCCAGGGGGCAGCAGCCGCCCTCGCTCGGCGCCCCGGGCGGCGGCGCAGCGCGCCCAGGAACGCCCCCGACGGCGCGGAGTTCGGCTGCCCGCCCTCCTCGCGGCCTTTGGGTCGCTCTTCTAAGAACTTCAGTATGGGGAGAAATGACAGGAAACGGCCGCTCGAGTCATCCTGAGCAGCCGCGTCCCGTTCCTGCTGCCTCCGCGGCTGAGCAGCGGAGCTAGTGGCGCAGGCACCCTCGGGCAGGGGTCCCAACGGGCCCGCGTCGGGGTTCCTTCCAGAAACCCCTTTGCCCGTGCACCGCGGCCTGCCCGTCCCGGGCCGTCGATGCTCCAGGCGTCCGGGCGCCCTGCTGCCTTCCGCGCTTCTCCCCAGGGGGGCCCATTCCCTCGCTCCTTTTGGCGAACCCCGGGACGCTCCGGGAACTGCCAGTACGCAGCTGCATTTTGTTTTACTGGGTCTGGGGGTCCCAGATAGAAAACTCTTTTGTATTTTTATTTAAAATGGATTTTGAAGAAGCCTCATTTCCAGTATAAAGACCCCCAAACATCTGCTCTCCACGTTGGCCGAGTGCAGTATTTTAAATATTGCACTGTCACCAAACCTGGCTGCCGCCCCCCTGCCCGGGCTCGGCCCTGCGGGTTCTGGAGGCGAGTTCGGGGCCAGTGAAACCCTTGTGCCTCCGCCCAAATGCAGAGTCGGCGCCAAGTGCATCCCCCGGGACCTCCCCGGTGGCGCGGGGTGCGGCGGAGTTGAAGATGGGTTCTGGACTCGGGAGGGACTGGGGCATCCTCGCCTCGGAAAGGTCGGAGAAGGCTCCTCTGGGGCTCGGGCGGTTGGAAACCCTAAACCCTGCGAGGGGCTGCGGGTCGGGCTCCGCGGCAGTCTCCCGGCGGGAGTCAAGTTCCCTTCCTTAGTAAGCAGAGAGGTACAGCGATAGATGCACCAAGTGCAGACTTTCAAGGGCAGCACCGTGGGCTCTGCTTAGCTGAGTCTCAACCAACAAATCCCGAAATCGAACGCCGACGAGGACGATAATAGCAAGGAAAGTTTTTGCTGATTTATTCTAAACCGGGCCGCGGGGCATTTTGGGCTCCCGGACCCGCGCTGGCTCCAACTGCGCTCGGCGGGGCACACTTGCAAACCAGAAACAAACAAACAAAAAGGGCGCCTTCCTTCTCGGGGAACTAAAATGAATGGAAAGCAGGTAGCGTGGGACTTAACTAAGGGATACCGGGAACCCCTTAGTGTGAAGGGCTTTATACCGAGCTACTAAAGTTCAGTAACATCGTGTACGAAATGAATGCCTTTCCACCAAGACCAATAATTTCAGCGGCAGCATAGACTTTTCCTTCCTCTTCCTCTCTGTGAGAGAAAGGAAAGGAAACTACCACGCTCACTCCTAGTGTTCCCCTGGAATAATACTGAAATTTACTTTAGCCTTAATACAAAAACAAAAAAAAAAAACAAAAACAAAAAACACGAAGCGATGTGTTGGGCGGATGCTATATGACAGATTCTTCCCAATTTGCTGCATGAGGGAACTTTCAAAAAGGCTCATAACAGGGATGGAATGTAAGTTTTCACAGTGAATTTTAAAAGTAGTATTTGGTTAGTTGAAGGAAAAATAACAATTTCCTTGGAAAATAATGACAGCTCATTGACGTTTTTCTTCTACAACTTTAGGTCAATATAAAACTGTAGGTCGTCTCAGAAAATAAGTATTCTACATTTTTCCTTTTTCAAAACCCTCTCGAAAATAAAATATGCATAAAGATGGAATTTAGAATCTCAACCGTTTTTCTTAAAATCAAAATTCCCTTCCACGAGAAATCTATTCCAAGAATAACATTTCTAAAAATTTAATATTTCTGAAAGAATTCTATTTTCAATACCCTTTAAATGAAAACAAAAACCAGAGAGTGTACTTTGCTAGTGGTTCTGAATCAAATTACTGCAGTTGGCACTTACGTCACAGAGAAAGAGAACATTCTGATGAAGCGTAACATGTTCATGTGTGTACAAATAACCTACTAGACGCAGCATCCAGTTTTCAACATTGCAGTTAAATTAAGTATCCCCCACCCCTCGTTCTGGAGGAGCTTTGAGGTTATTTCCCTTTTGAAATCTAACTCCTTAGTTCTTCCACTGCCTCCTTCCTCCATGTGAATGTTTCCATAGGATGCTGGGGTTGACGTGTGACTATCTCTAACTTTGGAAGTCAATTGTGCAGCTCGCAAGTAGCAAACTGAGAAAATTTCAAAATTAATCCTTTGCAATTTTAGGTATGCTTAGTAAACATTTTACCTTAATAAAAATTTTACATTGCCACTGCCATAACACAGGTAATAAACTAGATTCTAACAGATAGAAACCAAGCTCTATTTTTTTTTTTTCCAGAGAGTCATATAGAGTCATTTAATAACAGCAGAGTGCATCTGTGGTAAACGCTATAGCACTGAGGGTATCATTTAAGGTTTCGCTGGAATGTTTTATATGGTTTGACATTTACTATATGGAGAAGAGCTTTTAAATATTTCTGAATCAGCAAAAGAAGGCTTAATTATTTGGTTAATTTATATCATAAGATATTTATAAGATACATAGATTAAATCACGTATATACATATATACAAATGTGCATATTTTATAAATATAATTTGGAATCTAACATACCGTGAGTTTCTCTAGATGGATTCATTCCGTGTATACATTCTGAAAGAACAGAAAGGAGAAAAATAAAAATAATTATATGACCATACTGATAACAAAAAACAAATTGACTTATAGTTAATGAATTTCATTCTAATTGCAATAAGTGCATGTATAAAAACTAAATTTCCCCCTCTCATTTTTTTTTTTTGCTAGCTTATTGCCTCTCATACTTTCTAGCACTAGAGATTTTATAGCATGTTGTCCAGCTTTGGCACAAAAATAGCTTAAAACAGTAAATCAGCAAATAAAAAATGATCTGTCACAGATGCACATGGCTTTATGCTCCTTCGACCAGCATTTTCCACTGCTGGCTAATATTGAATCTTTAATAGAATCACCTTGTTTAAGCTCTACCTGTGATATAAATGTGATTTATTTAATGAACGTTAGAAATACATTTGGAGGGTGTAGGAATGAATCAGAATTTAAGATGAAACTGAAACTAAACCTTAATGCAAAAACATTTTAAAATGTGTAATACAGCAGAGGCTAAATGCAAGAAGTGAAAATACAAATGATTTAAAGTGATGACAATAAACAACTTGGAATACATCTGCTGAAGGAAACAAACTGATAAACATGATAAACATGATAAACAAACTGATAAACATTACTTCCAAGGATAGGACATTTTAGAAATGTTCCCTCTTTGCTTGCTTTCCTTTCTTTCCCTTAGCTAAGAGGGTAGATTATTTGTACTCACATTTCTCATTCTTGAAATAACAGATGATATCCTTTATTGAAAATTGTCATATGACAATTTCCAAATAGGAATCACTTATTATATACTGCTGCGTGTATAGTTATAGCTAAATCCATTAAGCAAAGTCATAGGAAGCTGCTTTTCTTTCCCTTGAATATCTCTGTGTAATGTTCTGAACTTGAAATTACTCTCTTAGCCTTGTATATTGATAATGGCCAGCACTCAACGATGACCATGGAGGAAATACCATTTTTCAAAGCCTCGGGATTTGAGCATTTCAAATACTGCAGATCTAAACCTTTCAACTCCACTCCACAATATTAGTACAATATAGCTTAAAAAAAACTTTAAAACTAAGAAAGGAGGTAATTATTTCAGATTTCCAGACGCTGTTTAAATAAGCAGGAGAACAAGATTTGCCGCTCCTTGGTTTTATATTTTTGCCAAAGCAAAAAAAAAAAAAAAGCAGCCAAAATAATAAGAGGTTTTGAAGGACTGCCCTATGATGAAAGATGAAAGGGATGAAATATGTATAGTTTCAAAGGCGCATCCTAAAAAAAAAAAAAAAAACACCAATATTGTAGTTTACATGCACCTAAAATGATTCCATAAAGATTTAAAAAAAAAAAAAAAGGCAGGGAAAGAATCATTTGCACTAATCATGAATGAAAAGGTAAGAAGTAACAAAATGCATAATGAAGTAAGTTTAGTTTTAATAGGCATGGATCGAGGGAATCCACAACAGTAAGATTGACCAGACAGCTGAATTTATGCCAAAGTGACCCAGCAGAACCAAGCACCCTGGGGATTTTCTCATGAGACTCTGAGAAGGCTTTCCATGTCCAAGGGTGCGAAATAGAAAGAGCAGAGTGAAAAAGAAGAGTCTCGTCCAGGCACCTAACGTTTCAGCGATGCTACGAGAAAAGCCAAGATGTTTTTTAAACCCCCGAACAAAAGCAAAAGTGAGTAGATTTTGAAAGGTGTGTATGTTTTGTCATCGAAACCTTTCTTTGATTGTCCTGTGTCTGTAGCCTTGAGAACACAGTACGCAACATTAAGATGGGAGCAGAGGGAAGCGGGAGGAGACAGGTGTCTGTAGGTGAAGCGTGTTCACGACCATGAGAGCAGAATCTGCCTATAGCCCGTGCTCCAGCTCCCTTCCCCCTCCCTCGGTCCCTCCCTCCCTTTCTTTCTCTCTCTCTTTCTCATTGAACTGCTCCTACATGCCAGGCAATGGCCAAAATGCTTTTAGATACCCTTGCCTGGCTTAATCCTTGCAACAACACCATTACCATCCCCATTTTACAGAGGAGGAAACTCATACTTGGAGGATTTAGGAAACTTGACAAGGTCACTTCACTCTTCATCTCTATGCATTCACCCCCACCCCACCCCCACATACATACGTATCCACGTATGAGTCTGAGCATGTGATAGGTTATGTTTCTTTTTGACCACAACTATGCATTTTTAATGGGTGTCCTTCGTAGAGTTCTGAAAAATTAAACTCTGACCTCATCTTTTACTTTTATCTTCCCTGTTGCATGGTCTCCATCAGAAAATATCCCTGAACTTCTTCGCCAAGCAAATCTCAAATCTGTAGGAGTCATACCTTGAAGTTACTTATGGCAATCTACAGAATTTGAGCAGTAGGTCAAGGTCTATTTAGCTGAGAGGCTTGTAAATTCCTAATACATGTAAAATGGCTTTCTAGTCTTTTCCTGCCTCCACTCCCTCTAAATGGCATCTTGAGGACCTTCCCAGAAATGAAGGATACGATTTTCCTCCCTTCAGCATCCTCTAATGCTTCCTATGTACCAGGCGCGGTGCTAGGCTCACTGGTAACAAAGGACAAATAAATGAGAACAATGGAGCATCATGGGTGCTGAGAGACACACACATGTGTGCAAGGTCCAGGGAGGTGGTGGGAGACACAGAAGGAAGAGAGGGTGGCACCACCTGGTGGGCTCAGGAAAGATTTCCTTCCTAGTAGAGGTGAACTTGATTCGACTCTTGGAGGTTGGGTAGATTTTTACCAGGTGGTTGAGAAGGCTCAAGAATGGGTTTAGGGATATGGGAAGGGACTAGGGGAGAAGTGACTCCAGGCAGAAGGAGAAGTGTGACAAAGTCACGAACCTGTGAAACAGACCCACGTGTCAGTTCCGGCAGGCTGGAGTGTAGGTTTGGGATCAGACTGGGGAGTGGCAGCTCACAAATGACACAATGCTGGCAGACATGAACACAGGCAGGTCATTGGCAGCTGACACAACCTAAAGAAATTCGAACTTCACCATAAGGGCACTGGATTCTGTCAGAGCCTTGAAATCTGGGAAATGACATAATTAATACGCATTTTAGGAAAATCTGTCAGAAATGAATAGGTGAATCGGAGGAGACAGAGAAAAGGCGCAGGGGAGCTAAAGTTGTCAGACGGGAATCGTGAGCATCTTCATTAAGGTGGAAACGATGAAGATGGAAGATGGGGCGAAGGGAGGGAGAGAAAAGTGCTCCCACCTGTGGCCCAGGTGCCATTAGCAGCAGTAAAGACTGGACGAGGACAGGGTTGGAGGTAGACATCAGGATGCAGCTGGGATGTACAGAACAGAATTGTAGGTGCCGGTGGGAAAAAACAGGAATTCAGGGCAGAGGTCTAGGATAGCAATACCGAGCTGAGTCCTCACACATCTGCAATAGTTTCAGATCGTACACGGAACATGTGCGTTGACAGGCGAGTGTTGACAGAGTCTGAGATTTAAGGGATGATCAGGAGGAGAGGCAACAACCAAGAAGACCGAGTTAGGAAGAGAAAGATGGGAAAAATAGGGCCTTACGCACGAAGGGAAGATGGGAGCTTCGAGAGGAAAGGCATGTCCCAAAGGCCAAGGAGACACGAGGTAGAGGACTGAAGAGATTGCACTGGATTTTGCTACAGGGTAACCATGGGAACCTCTGCCAGAAGAGAGTCCATGGAGCAGAGACAGCGGGATGTCAGGAAGGGGAGGGAGATGCTTGTTGAAGGAGGGAGGGGAAGGGGTACAGGGGTAGAGGGAAGAGAGCCCAAAGTTGAGGGTGTGTGTGTGTGTGTGTGTGTGTGTGTGTGTGTGTGTGTGTGTGTGTTGGATGGAAGACATATGAGAACATTCACATTTGCTGTGTGCAGGTCCCTGACAAGCAAGCTCATGAGATCCCATCTCGAACCAGCTCTCCTTGGTTTCCCCACTGCACCCTTGTTCTCCCAGTTTCCAGACTCGGACCCACGGATTTATCCTCGACTTCGTCCAATCTGTTACCAAGCCCTCCTTGGGGTTTCTTTGTTCTAATTTATCACCCCTTTCCATCCCTCGTGCCACCATTCCGGTACAAGTTCTCGCCATCTCTCACCAGATCTCTTACAAAGGGGGTTCCATGAATTCCCTACAGTACTTCCAGATTAATCTCCCACCCCCCACTTCTGCAGAACCTGTGTTTTCCTGTGCATCCTGAGTTCAGTTCAAACCGTTTAGCACAATCCTGTAGGATTAAGGTCTACCCTCCTTGCCTTCATCTTGGAGGGGGTCAGATCCTCTGCCTTAGGTGAAATTTCTTCTCAAGGACCAATCATGTTCTTCGTCATGGTCTCCATGTCCCCCGTGTGACCTTTAAACTAGACTTTGTGGCAGAGCAATCTGAATATATTGAGGAGTGGAGCGGGAAAGAGGGAAGTGATGGAACCACCAGTTCCCTGGCCTCAGGTTTCTATGTGGAGTGACATTTCGTGGCCTCTTTCCACACCCTCAATCCTCCACCATAAAAGACTGAAGAGCGCGGATCCTAGCTTTGGGAATAGAAACCAGGTGCTTTAGGTGGACTCCTAAAATGAATCCCCAAGATTTTCCACCCTAATCCCTGGGACTGTGATTCTGAGGAGATGTCATGCCCTGGTCATCCTATGTGGCAAAAGGGGTTTTTCTGGTGTATTGAAACTGGCTACTCGGTTGGCTTTGAGTCCACCCAAAGGGAAATTATTCTGGCGGGTCCAGTCTAATCACAGGAGACCTTTAGAAGCGAAGCATTTTCTCAGGCCGGGGCAGCAGTGAGGTCAGAGAAGGATATGATGTGCCTGCAGGGCTGGCTGGAAGATGGAGGAAGCCATGAACAACAATGAAACAGCAGTCTCTCTAGGTGACCCTTGGCTGACAACTGGCAAGGAGATAGGACTCCATCATGCGGCCACATGGAACTGCGTTCTGCCAACAGCCTGCAGGAGCCTGGAAAGTGCATTTTCCCTAAGCCTCCAGGTAAGAGCTCAGCTGACACC